GGCTCCTCTTCCTCCTCACCCACGGGAAGGGGCCCCAGGCCGGGGTGCCGAGGGAGGTGCCCTGCAGTGGCCCCGACAAACCGGTTCCCGGGGCTGCGAGTTGACTCGAGCACACCCAGCCAGGCCCAGCGCAGCCCGGCGGGCACGCCTGCAGCAGCGCCCCGCGCGTGGACACATCATCTGAGGAGGGAGAGGTGTGGGGCAGCTCTAGGAGTTTGTTTTAAAAGAAACCAGGAACTAAATACACAAGATTTCTTGGTGCTAGCTAGGCACTAAACAGGGTCATCCTCGCACAATTCCCGCCAGGTCTTCCCTAGCAGCTAGCCTTACGGGCAAACAGCAATTTGCAACTGCAAGCGCACAAGCAGGTCAGAAAGGTAGTCCCGTTTGCTCCTGAAGTGCTCCCCAAATCATCGCACAAAGAAGAGGCACTTTGAAAAGCAATGCTGCCGTGCAGAGACATCACAACTTGCACAGGACCCCTGGAGCCAGGTGGTTTTGTTACTAATGGCAGGGTAGTCATGGAGCTCTCACTGCAGGCTGAAGGCTATTTCAGGGGGAAATGCCCCTTGGCAGTTAATTCACACTGCTGTCAACCAGCGTCCACTGGACTGGAGAGGGTGGCTGTCCCTGTGCCCCTGCAAGTTTGACACAGCCTTGGGATGTGAGAGACTCGAGTGCTTCTGACATAAATTTGGGCAGAAATACACACGTGCAGCAGCAGTACTGATCCAGTAACAAGACTTTAATTTTCAGGTAGACAACACTTTCATTTGCTTTTGCCCAAGTCCAGTCAAAACCAACACACACATCCCCAAAGGTTCAGTTTTTGTGAACTGACATAGAGATCCATCGACTCTACCTATTTCTCCATTTACCTTGAAATCCACCATTCAGTCTACTTAAGCCAATATTGAGATTTTATTTCTTGTGGACATCAATTTTCTGAGATTGTTTAAAGTGACTGGGGTACATTTTACTTTAAATACAGCCTTTGATATTGCTAGTTTCAAAATAAATATTGGAAAACTAGCACCAGGAATGCAGAACCATCAGTATTCAGCCTTACACAACTGAAGACACGCTCGAGTTCCTTCACTATAATTTTTTCTTCATGATCAAATTCTACAGTTGTCTGAACTTCCAAGATTATTAACACTGTATATGTCCATAGTAAAATTAATCTGAAAAATTACAAAGTCAAAAGAGTTTGTAAATTGAGCAAATTTGGATACAAAACTTTGTATTTGCTCAGATTCTGCTGACCGTACAAGAAGAAATTTCACATTTCTTTTCTCCTTGAAACCTTTTTGATACAGTCAGGCTGTGATGTATAAGAATCTTTATACTTGACACACCTTGGTCTGATAAGATAGTTTCATCAACTGTACTTCCAGTAGATGAATGTTACTCATCTGAAAAAAAAACTGTGAAAATAAACCCAGAGTGAGAAGAACAAGTAACTGATTCAGCCATAGCTGAATCACGGAGGTTTCACATTTACTTGCTTCCTGTGAGTCAAATGTTCCAGCAAAACTTCTGAAGAGTTTTATTTCTGTATGGTGACCGGGCTAGTAATACAGACCCACTGTTCGCAACATGAATGCTCCTTTTTGAAATGAGAGACAACAGACAACTGTGGAATGATTAAGCTTGCCTACAAAGCTGGCACCAAAGGAGGAATAGATCTACAGCCTCACACAGAGCACAGGTTATACTGTGACTCTTTAAACCAGGATCATAATTTTACATACAGTTAGTTTCCAGTTTTAAGTACAATCATACAATACAAGCAAGTAACCTGATCTCTAACCACTTCCCACAATCCTGACTCTTTCAAATGGCCCCAGCAGAGAAGACTGATACAGAAAATAACAGAGATGCAGAATCCAAAACAAGTGCAGACCAAGGGAGTACTCAAACACCTTCCCCACTTGCCTTCACAAAGCTCTCTGGCAAGAACTCAGGGCATTTTTAAAAATATTTTAAATAACCATAGTAATAAACAATTAGAACCAATATAGAGAAAACGTAAGGTAGGACAAAAGCATGTTGAATAGTGCATACAGAAGAAAGAGGAACAAGCAAAAATTATGTCCTGTAAAAGAAGGTGAGATTTGAAGATGAAGTCAAGGTAGTATATTTTTATTAAGCTATTAATCTGTACTAAACTGTGTACTTTTATTGAAAGTATGAAACTTGCAGGATTCTGAATCTCATGGTGCATGAATTATTATGCTGTGCAAATGCAACACCTGTTACCCTCATTCCTTCCCCATCCCTTATGGTTACAGCTACCCGTTGCCACTTGCCTTTGCTTATGAGTAGTACGTAGAACAACGAAATGGAGAGGCTCAGTCTCCACAGGTGCTCACGTATACAAATGGCAATCAGAAAAGACAAGGCAGAGATCCCTAGAATAGCAGCTGACCAAAAAACCCAAGCACCTGGAGGCTACTCCCTAGGCTCATCTGTAGGCAGTTGGATTCTTGATGGCTCCAACCTTCTGCCTGGATCTGCATACTATCTACAATGTGAGAGAGGGAGTCAGTGATGTGATAAACCATCCCCAAAATAATTCCAACATGGATCAAGCTACAGGCAGAGCAATTCAAGCCCAAACTCAGTCCTGCTGATGCACCTGCCTGCCTGCCACTTCAAAGTGGAACTTAGGCAACCCTGAGAACAAAACCGCATAAGCCAAAGTATTTATATATTCCCAACAGGAAAGTTTCTAGGAACAAAGATTTTGAAACACCCAGGCCAGACAACTAATAAACAATATTTGTCACTGTGATATCCAACCATAGTGAGACATTCCGTAGGCAAGATATTTCAAAACTCAAAAGTAAATACAGATAGCAGTAAACAGATTATATATTTCCAAACTCAAAAATAAAATTCAAAAGTACTATAAATAGCAGTAAACAGATTCAATTGGAAAATGCTATTCTACATCCTAAGTTTTTGGGTATTGAGGATTTACAAGACCAACTCAAGCAAATCTTGTTCTTAGGAAGGGCATCTCTATGGCTGTCTCACTTACTCCAAGAATCCTCCTTACAGATAAATACTTTGCGGTCATGCGTATGCTATCTGCATTCCTTTCTTCAGAAGTGGTGGAGAGAAGAACATTAAGATTACAGAAATGTCATCCTTTTTCTCTATCATTCATAACTGAAAGAGAAATTCAAGATAAAATACATATATCTACCTTAAATAAGAGAGACACACTATACAAAAATTCTGATCTGCTGCCAACTCTAGATCACTCACGTGCTTCAGAACTGTGGATATAGTAAGTGTGGAACAGCTCACAGAGAGGAAATAATTTATACATTAAGTTAAAAAAAGCTATAAAGAGATTTGCAGATGCTAATTAAAACAGATTTTAAGGTCAATTATATTACACACACCCACACACACAAAAATGCAAAACAAACCTGCTTACACAGTCTTCTCCACAAGAACTGAGATGAAAAATCTATCACAGATGTTTATGACAATACTCAATCATGTACTGAAGGCCTTCTTCAGATAAAAACAGTAATAAATGTGGTATGAGAAACTATGTGGAATAGAAAAAAAGGCTTCCATTTTGCATTGCAGTAAATAATTTACATGGAAAGCATTAAAATAATCTCACAGATCACTGTAAGCACACAGAACCACTGTTCCAGAAGGTACATTCTTCCAGAGGTCTCAAAAGACAGCCATTTCTGGCTTTAGAAACACAGTGTGAGTTTTATTTCCACATTAACTCTAACATGCTCCACAACTTTAACTTCATGACACCCAGATAACTCTTATGACACTTGTTTCTAAACAGATGGTAAGACAACTTCCAAGGCTCAGCCAAACTAACTTCATTTGTTCAAAGCACTTACAGTAGTTTACTTTTTGGTAAGTAATGCCTATGTAAAAATATACATTTTAAAGAAATACACACAATGACACGGTGATACTTAGATTCTACACTTTATTGAATCAGACAGATACAAACTAATAAAGGGACAGGGGTTCACTTTCTAAACAGCAGATTAAGTCATTGTTCCCCCAGTGGCTTTCATGTCTTTCCTACCAAAAGTTTCCAGCTCCCACCTGTGTCAACAGAACAGCTCATGCTGAATGCTCACTGACCTGGTTTAGAAACAGTCAACTGAGTCAGCTTACACAGTCCGAACTAGCCCTACTGATTTGGTCAGTAAGCAGATAAGGGAGCCCAGACATGAATTCAAATGACAGAGCTGTGGGTACAGTGGCATCTGGCAAATGAACAGATGAGCAAGTAGAGATGGTGAAATCATTGCAGCAAGTTTGGAATAAAATAAACATGCTCTGGACTTAGCCTGGGCATCTAAAACATACCAGGTACACATCTGTTTGTTTAAAAACCAAGCAAACCCCAAAGTACTTCCAATACAGTGAAACCACAAAACAGACACTTCCATAGTATCCACTTCTTTTAAAGATTCTGCAATTAAAAAGCAGTTTATATTTCATACAGGGTTTGACATTGTTTGTATAACTTACAAGAAATATGCTGTCATCATAAATTATTTGCCTGATAAATATTTAATAATAATAAAATGTCTATATTTAAGCAATTTGGTGTGAACAGAAAAAAATCTAAAAGGCCTATTTTAAATATTTGCCCTTTACAACTTTCTTCTTCTACATATGCACTTACAAAATATCATTTATTCAGAAATACAAAACCATTTTAAAGAGAAAGATAGGTAAACAATAAGAAGGCTTAGCCATTTTGCATATTTGCACATCATTCATATTATTATTGCAGTGTGAGACCTTTTATTTAGAGCACATTCAATACTAGTGATGGGTAACAATTTCACAATTGCAAAGAAAATGGAAGTTCTCAGTCTCTTTGGAAAGGACAAGGATCAAACAGCGTTTGTCTGACTAACCCAGAAAAATCCTTCTGTCATTAACGGTTTATTAACATTTTTTAAATCAGTAAAGTCATCCTGTATCTCCTCACAGTGAGTCCTTCAGGGCTGGTCCATCAACTCTTACTGAAGCAATTTTCAGTGACAACAACAAGAGCTTGACTGGGCTCTAAATTCTTGCTCTTTTCCTTTGAAACTGTGTGACCGACCAATTTTTGTGTCCACTGAGAAAAGACGTTTAGTAAGCTGAAATCAAGACACTCAGCTCTTCTTCGTTATCACACAGCTAATACCACAATTAAATTTGGTGTTGAATTGTCCAAGGAAGTGTCAGCCTGACATGGCTACCATAGCCAATGAAACCAACAGAGAAGATGGCAGGTCAGGTGTGGGAAGAGGGCCTTCAGTAAGCACAGTGTGGCACCCTAGTTAATGATTCCTGCTTCCCAGGGAGCTTGCCCGACAGGTTTGCTCAATTGGCAGCTCTAATCTCCCTGTTCTGTTTGCTGAACAGCAGAGAGAATTAATGATGCTGCTCATGACTCTAACAAAGCTCCACATGTTCAATATAAACAAAGTCAAAATATTAGTGAATTTTGATTCCCGGAAACAACTGGAAAAAAAAGCGTTAGTCTCAAAAAAAAAAAAACCCCACCTCACTTGTACCTCTTCTTCTACCTCAAACACCACGTTCTTTATACTCAGGTATGCAATGGCTTCAAAGTGATGGGCACCTGAATCCAGCCTACCACCAATGCTAAATTAATTTGCAGTCATAAAACACTATGAAACACTTAATATAGAATATGTTGCTACACAGTCATTTAAAAAACATTTCAATTGTATGCTTGGAATTGCTTGACTTGGCCTTTTTTGATATGGACTGTGAAGTTGTTAGTCCAGACCTAAAGTTAAAGAAAGGAAAAAAAAACCAGTAAGAGGTTAAAATATACAACGCATACCTACAGAACTTTACAACACTGACCATTTTTCTAAATTTTATTTTAAAATGACTTGTGTATGGAACTTTCCAGAAAACCCTTACCTTTTTGTTCCTTGGGATGGATTTGTGCATTGCTGTCTGCTGCTTAAACCTGAAAAGTAATGGGAAATAATCAAAACTAATTACTTCAATAAAGAAAGAATGCTTCAGAAACTACATACATGGCAGAACTTCTAAAAGAACAGTTTTGGGTAAAGCTTTTGTTTCCCTTTTTATTTATTTATTTATTTTTTAACACAAACAGATTTAATCTGTCTTAAGGAGCAGATAACATTTTATTACCTGCAGTTTGAGTACTGTAGTTTATACTAATCTTTGTAAAAGAGAAAAACAAAAAGCCTTTACTTATTGAATTCTAAGGGATTAATTTGAACCTTGCTATAGTTTTTGGAACTATTTCAGCATAATGTAGATTTCAAGGTGGCTGTTGAAAACTGTGTTTTTTAATTTTTTTATCCTGCAGGGGGGAATAAGAATCTTTGCGAACAGTAAGTTTTTTCATTTAAAACATAGCCTGTTTGCACATGTAACAACAATACTGCTTATAAAATTTTCTGTGTAAAAGGCTCACATTATAAGTCTTAATTGTGTTCTGATAATTCTAACACACTAGCATTTTAATTTCCTCTTATAAAGCTCCCAAGTTAGATTAGGGACAAAGTACTTTATGTAGGTACTTGACTACCTGCACTTGTCCTCTAATCTGGCCAAAGATTAACTCTTCATTAAAACCAGAAACTATGTGAGTAAATATACTACTGGTTTGACATGCTACAGATGCAGTTATGTGATACGTCTTATTAGATATAAAACAGGCTTGCACGTTCCTGCCTTTATGCTTTAGTTCACTACCCCTCTGTTTTTGCCAGCACATTACATAATGGAACTGAATCTGTCAACTAAATCTTTGAAAGAATCCAGGTTGAAGAAGTTTTCACTGATTTTCACTTAAATCTCAGTGGCGTTACAAACACCTTTCTGAACGTGGTTGGGGAGTAATTCACAGAAATGAGCAGTAATTCCTATGTTACCATTGTGGCAAATGAGAATGCTCTGTGTAGCTATCATCACATTCATAAATCTAGTTTGTTATGAAAACTGATTTGATATTTTTAAAATAAAAATGTTCACTCTTATACACAGGCCTTACTCAAATGAACTTGTTGCAAAAATCTCAAAGCCCTGAAAAGTTCAAAGTATACCATTACCAAATTATTTTAATTGTACAAACAGATATTTTGAATAAGCAAATACATCCTAATGTGCATACTCACCAGCTCTGTTTGAGTTTTCCACATTACAGGTCTTAGTCGGAAAATCTTTTTTTTCTGTCAGCTCCTGGATGAGGCCTTTATTTAAACAGACATCCACATGTCTGTTAAATGACACAAGACTAGTGGTTTTCTGTTCTGAATTACAAACTGGACAAACAAGAACACTGTCTTCTTTGTCTTCAAAGAAACAGGATGAACGAGTTGCTTCTGTATGTTCAGTCTTTTCAAAATGGTTATTGTCTTGGGAAATTCTTTTGGAGAAGAGGCATTGTTTCATACAGAGGTTTCTAGCAATATCACTGAGATTGCTAGGCTGTCTTTCTCTGTGACGTTTATCAGATATTATCTGAGTAATTTTTTCTGTGCTATTACTAGTGGAGTTGTCAGATGTACTTGCAGACTGGTCTGTTCCTGCTAAGTGATCTGTTTTCTTTTTTTGACATTCAACATTTTCATTTTTAAATCGTGGAAGAAAGTTGAGTGTATTTTCTATTGAATTGTCATTCTTGGATATTTGCACGCTATCTTTAACAAAAGTCCCATTGAGGCACTCATCAATATGTCTATTAAGGTCTTCCAAATTATTGCTGCTTTGCCCCTCAAAGCAAACAGGGCAGGTGAAGATCTCACACACATTAGAAATCTGTAAGTCTGTGACTTTCTTTGATTCTTCCACAAAATTTGCTGATGATTTCCTATCATGAAAGAGCTGCTTATCTACAGTGTCACTTGGAGAAAGATTCTCACTGTTTAGTTGCCTTGCAGCTCGCTTTTTATCAAAAAAACTCCCTCTGGGAGATTCTTCTGAATGTTTTGTGAAATATTCTTGGTTGGACTTCCCTGGCTGAAGCCTAAGAAAACCAGTTTCTTTTCCTGATTTTAAGAAACTTGTAATGCTTTTTTGTTGGTACTTCTTCTCTTCTTCACTTAGAAATCCTGATACTCGTATGCCTAATGATGAAAAACAAACTTATAATACCAATTTCATGAAAACTTGATACTAATTCTTAATTAACACCTTTTGAGGTAGGTATATATCCACTCAATAAAAGTGCTTTTTAGCTTTCACTGGCAGTTATACTACCTGAACCTGAAAATGCTAAAAATGGATCACAAGGTCCATACAATTTTCTCAGACCTGAACAATTGCACGACCATATTATTAAATTCACTACCTGTGAAGATTTGAACTGATTGCACCATAACACTAGGCTATAAACTTAATTCAGTTACATAGAATTCAGTCTGAAAGAGAGTTTTGCATGGTTTCCCCACCAAAATATTTTTTTCTTCAGGACATTCTAATACCGTAGATTAGATATATCACTGAATGGTTCAGGCAGAATGTATAAGCACCTGAAACACATGGGTCTTAGAGTCAAAACACAGAGTTTACTTTCAACAGAAATTTTCAAATTTCTTGCAGAACATAGCATCTTCAAATCTGTAAACACTTTTATTGAAAGGATTTGTTTCTAAAAGGAGTTATATACAGAAACTGCCTGTTGTTGTAGTGCAAAGCAGATTTAAGCAGTGCTCTTTTACGGCAGCAGAATTAAGCACTGTTATGCATTGAGATTCTACACTCATGCCAATGTGTATGTTTCAGGGATAACAGGTAGTAGGAAAAGTACAACCTCAATTAACAAAACATTCCTGAGTCACCACTCAGCACTCCAGACCTGTTTCACTTTGCAAAAACTACCAGGGTAACGGAGGAAGGATAAATCCATTTATACTGATTTTACTTTAGAGTACTATTACTTTGATATACTATAAGATCTAACTCTGAAAAGGAAGAATGAGTTTGAAATATTTTACCCATAAGTCTTATCCGTAAAGGGTGAGGAGCAACACTATCAATTTCCGTTCCTAATAGTTCTTTAGCAACAGCAAATATTTCCTCCTCAGCAGAAACAGAAGACAGCACAGTTGAAGCTCTTGTTTTTACTTCAAAGTTCACATTCTTTAGCTTCAAGGTAACAGTTTTACCCTAGGCAAAAAAAAGAAAAAGGTTAAGCATGTCATGTTTGGCACAGAAACAATTATTATGTAGCATCTATATAAGGGCCCTAAAGCCATAGTCAAGACTGTGTGCTTACCTGTGTACAGCAAGGGGGACTGTCAAGAACTTGTCTGCGAGACTCTGCACTTGTTCCTAAACTGTGGCTAAAGTCAAGTTCTCTGAATTGGGTCACTTGGCTATTGTTCTCAGCAGACCATCTGCCACCAGTGCATGTTCAATAGATTTCATGCTCTGGCTACAGTCACAACTTCTACCCTGTCTACAAAAAATTATTTCCTCACTTGGAAACTTTCAGTGCCAGATACCTTAACTTTGCAGGGAAAACTACTAAGGTTGCCTAAGTGGTGTCAAATTAAGGATTTGCTCAGAACTTCCTCCTGCATGGTGCTATTGGAGTCGCACACTGTTTGGCACAGATATTCACCTGGCAACACCATCCAAACCATTCGTGTGATTTAGAGTGTCCAAAAGTAAATAAACGACACTCCTTTTGTTCTTGTGCCTTTGTAAGCTTATCCCTTTGTCTTTAGCTGACGATTTCCCCTTCTGTCATCTTCTGAGACAATCTTTTATGTCTGAAGAAGACTAATCACCATTCTTTCACATCTTGAATGTTATTCATTGCTTTACCACAAAGACCTTCATAGAAAATATGAACTGCTCTTTCCAGATAATAAACAGAAGTCTGGGGAGAAGGAATACAGGTACTGTTTCCACCATTCATAACACTGAATGGTATGAAAAACTTGCCAGAAACAATGGGACACGTGAAATTCTTAAACTACACCAGTGGCTATTGACTGGATCCTGGAGAGAAACACAGTGTTTTAAATAAATTAGTACTCACAGACAGTCTGCTCTATTATTTATTTATAAACATTGCTTTTCACATAAAATTTTTATATACTAAAAAACTTGGTTAATTAGTTTAATTTTTTCCAAGCATATTATTAGATAGCCACCTGAACAATACAAAAATGCTGCCTAAATCATTCTAAACATCTAAAGCAAATTAAAGGATGGAGACTTCTGAAGATGGATTGCATGGTATGACGTGGCTGAAAGCATTCGCACTAATGCTGCATTTTAATAAGTTTGAGTGCAAAGTGTCATCTTTTTGCAAGTAAACAGAGAATAATATAAATACCTTAAGTCCTTCTTTCTGTAGGTCTTGAGCAAGGTCTCTGCAGAGTTCTCGACACAAGCTGTACTGGTCTTCCGCTGTGTTTATCTCACTGAATGTTCTAAGATAAAGGTAAGATCTTTTTTTAGTATGAATCCTAAAATTTATTAAACCACTTCCATCTAAAAGTATTTTTTGTACAGTTAATGTACAGACTACATTAGAAGAAGGTTGTATAAGTTTGTGTGTTTACTTTAAGGAAAAATGAATACAAATACACAGAAAGATTTGTGCATATTTATGTGTTTCAGTATGTCTGCAAAACCCTTCAAACAATGAAATAATTTGGCTTTCAATTTTTCATGCACTATTTGAAAATCTATCAGATTTAAGTCATTAATGCTTAAATATCTGCAAGAGAGAATACTAACACCAACTGAATTCATGGAGCCAGCCAAGTAATTTGTATTTAATCTCCTTTGTACACTGCTGTGTAACACCGGAAGAAAGAAAAGATTAGAAAGTCAACATCAGAGCCAAGTATCAGAAATAAATAATGCAGATGCTAAGAGAAAGATGCCAGCTAGGATAAGTATGTCTAGCCTCAGAGGATGAAAAACTAGCTTTTTGCCAAAAACACTGCTAACTGCCTTTGCTAGATCTTCTTAGCAGGGGAACTACAGTATTATTTTTTTTGTTGTGCATCTTCTTTTTGGTAGTAACATGAGAGAAAAGGCAACCTTCAGCTAGTAGTGGTTTCAAGAGAAGCAAGAAGCAAAACTCAGAGCCGCCAGATGCTTTTGGAAAGGGCTCAGAGATCCATTGTTTCATGCCAGGCTTTATATTTACAAGCGTAAAGTCCCTATAGTTACACTGGATTTCACATCTCCAAGTTACTTTCAGGTTTATCTGATTGTATTGAAAAGTCATCCTCTATTATGATTCACATTCCCCTAAGAATGCTTGCATGCTGACAACTAATAGGATTAATATTTTACTGTGGGTCCCATGCTGTTATCCAAGGAGTAACTCATGTTTATCCTGGCAATACTGCAGTGATTTACAGTACTGCAATGCTGCAGCAACTGGGAAGCTGTAAAAGTCCTAAGTTTGGAAGGGGCAGGACAAAGAGAACAGAGAGGATGCTATTTCAGGCCCATTTTTTCCCCCCATATAAACCAGTGTCATGCTATCAGCAGCCCATTGATGTCTCTGGTCTAAAACCACTTCCCTTATGGAAAAAAGAAGGAAGAAAGAAAAGCAGAAAGGTGCAATAGGCTACTGAGATTATCTGTTTTCCTGCAAACCAGCACAACACTACAGCCATAAATTTCTCAGCTCTGGTGGTTCCAAACCTTATGGGGCTTAAGCTGCCCACAACGACTAAGTGTCAATAAGTATTTTATCTTGTTTTCTGACGAGAGACAACACATGAGGGTAGGGGTATTTATTACGGTGCTCTACAAATTCTCCTAGCAGTATTTCCTTTTTAAAAATTAACTTTTGGAAATGACATAGACGACCTTTTTAAGGAACTTTACACTGGTAAAAACATAAAAGTTAGGAAATGTAACCAATTTTAGTTAACCACGCAAACTTACTGTCTGCTTTGCAAGTCTACCTTGTGCTATGCTCGCTATGCCTGTGACTGCAGGCTACTAGACTGATACTGACATTAAACTATAACAAAAAAATTCAAGCCCTTATATATTTCCACCCTGTATTATGGCTTAAAGACCACTTTGATGCATTAAAGGCATTAGGAGAACCAGATGATGAGAGCACACAAACTGACAGAATTACCATAGCATTCTGAAGCCAAGGAAAAAAAAAAATAATGAAAGCTTGAATCTAATTTAGTGAGCTTGTTGTATATGTGGTTTTTTACTACATATAAATATATAGCAAAATTATATGACTAAGAAAAGTGTACACTACCTGGCATTAAGTAGGTTTAGTAATTAATGTAATTTTTTTCAATATTAACGAGGCATACCTTTCAGTGCTCATACTTTTTCTTTCTCCATCCCTTTAAAAAGAAAAACAGTTTATTATACTCACTTTACCTAGAACTGCTATCTTTTTAACAAACTCTGAGTCAACCAATCATGCTTCAATAACTAACCACAGTTTCTGGATGTTAATTTTTTCTACAAACCTTTTACACCAAGTTTAAGTGAGTGTGAAACAGAGAATGTTTTTTCAAAAAAACTTAAAGTACTGTAGATGAATTAAAGACACAGATCAGCCACAAACGTCAATAAAACCCAAACAGTTTGTAAAAAAAAACCACCACCACCACCAAAAATCCAACAAAACTCCCCTCTCATATCACAAGTCTTAACTAAAAACAAAACTAATTGCAAATCTTATGCTGTCTCATCTAGCTAGAACTGTGAAGCACTGCTATTAAAATCCTGAACATACTCTGTATATTTGAGTACTTGTATATCTGAGGAATTAGTTTGCTTTCTGTCTAAATTATCGCCCATACTAAAGGTGATGTGTTAAGGCTTTTTCTGGCTTCTTTTTTTTTTTTTTTTTTTTTTCTTTCCGGTTTTAATTGAGCATCCTTTAACAACTCTTCTGCATATAACAAGTTCCTCAGAGCATTTTCTTTTTAGGTCCTTCTTCTGTTTGTAAGTACTGGAAATAACAAATTTGGTATCCTCAGATTTTCCTAAAAGAAGGTGGTCAAAGACAATGACCATAAGATGAACCATTTACTGATGACTCTGGTGTTGGTATGTTAAGAGTTTGCTTTCCGCATTAAAATCACTGCAATCACTTGTTTTGAAAACAAAATCATGAAAGAAATTTCTTATACAACATCATTAAAAATGTGTTCCCCTTCACAATAATAATATTGGCTTTTGGAATGCTCTTTTATTTTTTTAATGTACTGGGAGATTTCCCA